GTTCTAACACGCCCCCACATATCTATGTCGCTATGTGGGAAGATTGGCATGACGCCGCCCAAATGTTCACGCAAAGAAAGAATGCCTAACTTTTATTCTCGCTGTAGTATTGTTGACGCTGCCGCCATGTCGTGAAGGCACTGTGTGATTCGTTGTGAAAGCGAAACTACTTTGTTTGGTCTTCCAAAAGAGGCCGATATCTGCTTCGTCATGCCTAGAGCTGATCCGTGCTGGTTGCTGAGGAAATACTTCAACTTTGCGCTGTCAAAATTTCGTAATTTCACAATAAATAGATATAATTAAAGTCTACTGTGTTTGACAGTCTTTTTGGCTAGGTTTAAAACAAATAAAAGTGCACTTTTTTTTCGATAAACAAGGCAACATGCACTTGTGTCTTGTGGAGGTAGAAAAACTAAGTTCTTTAAGACCCGCGGGACTGTTTGTAATAAAGATTTAAATGTAAAAGGCACGAGAGGCGACTGTTTCTGTCAGTGGTAAGTTTTAATGTAAAATATTTGTGATAACCTAACACAAGAAAGCTATATGCTGTGTTCAAATGTGTTTCCACTTGCTTGAGCAACTTAATATATAAATCTAGAAGCCAAATGCATTTAATACGCTGTTTATATTGAGTTTAAACGTGAATATGTCTGAAAGATTGTGTAACTGTACTGTGATAAACGAGGATCACAATGCTGAAAAAACACTTTCAGTATAGGCTTTTGACAGCAAAATGAAATATCACCGTATGCACAGTGCTATAATGACAAAAAGACGATGAATTGTGCGATTGCACTATCTGTAATCTTCCTTTACTATTAAAATTACAGCCATTTTGATTGATTTTTGATGTCAGAACAATCAAGGGGGAGAAGTTGGAGGAATTTTCAGTTTACACATCTAGAGTCTTAAATTTGTCATGGATTGCTCCAGGATTATCCTACAGGTTAGTACCACAGCACATTTTCAATTTATGAGTAAAATAATATCTTTGGTTATTATCTTGTGAAGCTGCTGTATTTAAAAAAAAAAAGCAAGTTGTTCTATACAGCAATAACAGTAGTTGTAGTCCTTAAACACAGCCCATAATTAACCTGCACTTGCGCTCAACATCCACCCCAACACTTCAAATCTCTCTTTTGGCTTGACACTTTAAAATCAGTTTCACAAGTCATTTAGTCATTCTATAAAGCCAAGTTGAATTCAAGACAAACGGGAGGCAAATATTCTTTGTCAATTTATTAACAAAATGATAAAATAAATAAATACAAATTGATCAAATGCTCCTAATATCAATTTCTTCCCATGTTCCCTACAGTATTTTCAAAACACTGCATACAAAGGACTCATCACAGGCTCAATACAGGAGAGGTAAGAACCAACTGACACACTCACAATGTCAGGCGAACAAACAAGAAAAAAGACCAGAGAGAGAGAGAGAGCTCTGTAACAGAAAAAAGTCAAAAAATAAACACACTCCTTTTTAAAATCATTATGAAAAAATACAAACAATTTTACAAATATTCATATTGTGTAATAAACCATTTACACTTAGTTCAGCACACCAGGTGAACTTTTTCTTTCTTTTTTTTTTTTTTAAATAACTCATGTCGCTACAATGTATCCTGTTTTGTGTTTCATCAAGTGGAAGATTTTTTTTGTTGTAATTTTTCTTTTTTGCACGCGTAAACAAAAATGTTTTCCAATTGGACAGTTGACTGTAGATGAGGTAACGCTCTCACACACACACACACACACACACACACACACCTGCTAAAACAAACACACTCGCTCACACAGTGCACAACACCAGGAAAGTCACGACTACAGAAATGAAATGCATCAACAGTACGAGAAGGCCACAATCATGACTGAGTAAATAGTATGAAAAGTGAACAGAAACTACATTAAAACTACAATGACTTCATTGTCACTGTGGAATTATAATGCACCATAAAGAATATGGATGATCTACACACTTTAAGATCAAGGTGACAGGATGAACAGCTGGAATGGGTGTGAAAATGTTTTCGATTTTATGCATAAAATGTACACAGCAACCTTTCGCCTTTTAAAAGTTCAAAAACCAAAATTGCAAAGCCATACAGACAACTTAGAAAGCGTTTCCCGCACGTCGGAGCTTTAAGCTAGAGCAGAAATCAATTGTGACGGAAAAAAACGTTCAATGATATGTATCTCGAATGCATATAAAAAGGCTTCCTAACAGCAAAATGTTTGAATTCTCTTTGGGTATACTGACTTAAGAACTTGAATGCGTGGCTTTCAGAAGTTCCCTCCCCTTACTTCTAAAGGTCCCACCCACAACAGATTACATGCACTCTGCAAGATAAGCCATGTAAGACCATAAATATCTTCTCACAACCACTGGTACCCCCCACCCCCCACCCAGCACACCAAGATAACAATAACATTCAGCATGGTGTTGGAGCAAAGGCAGACTTGAATGAAAGTAACTGTCCATGAGTTTCATACACAGACGAAATGCCACATTTCCACGTTCCAAAGAGCCCAGAATTGTGGCCAGCAAATAATTCCCATCTGTAACTGTACATGAATTAACTATTTTCTACAGATGCCATTGTGAAAGTGTATATTGTTCATAATTTAAACAACAACAACAAAAAAAGCAAGTGTATTTAAGAGATGTACATATGTATACTGTTTCGTTTTGGCATCATCTTCGCCAGACATGTAAAAAGGAAAGTGACACAAAGTTCACATAAAAATCTTTACAAAATAAAATCTAAACTAAATGCATATTAAAAAAGTTTGACAAAAATTATAAAAAATTTGCATAAGGCGGCATGCTTTTTGTTGAACTGATTGGACAGGTTGGTGTTCTGGGGGTTTGAGTCTATCCAATCAGATTGCAGGTTTTCTTTGATCCGTTCAGTCTTACTAATAGTCAAGGCTGAAATCTAAATACCTGATTTAGGTACAAGTCCAGTACTCTAACTGAAGGAGAGATGAAGGACATGACGCGAATAAGAAAGGGTGCAAGTCGTTTTAAGAGCAGAGTGTTATGTATGACATTAAGTAGTAGTCACTGGCCTGAACAGTCCTGTTTTGTGATACACGAGAAAACAAAATCTCCTGAATCACACACTACAAAAGAACTTAAAAACGAGCAGAGACTTCAGTATTTTGGGCAAATAAATGAGTAATACTTAGGACATTCCTATAAAAAGTGCATAAAGACAGGAAACCATGACTTCCTAAACTTTTTTCCAATGAATATCAATCCAAAAAACACATTTTTGTCACTAGATTCACACACTTAATATTTTGGTGGCACAGAGTGCTCCGATAAACCAATGAATTAATTTAAAACACATTATAAGGAACAACTCTTTTTTTTTTTTCTTCTCCAGACCAATTTTGTGCAATCACTTAGATATACTTTTGTTCAGAGTATTAAAAAGCTCAAGGCAACTCCTTAACTCCTTAAAATATAGCCTACTCTAAGAGGGGCTCTTTAACTTCACAGCAGATAACTAGATTAAGTAAAGACAGACAGGACTACACCAACACAAGCACATCACTACAACCATTTCACTTTAACCGAATGAAATTACAACAAATGTGCTTCTAATCAAGGTTAACTGAGTGATGTTTTACAGAGAGAGGGAAATATGACCAGTTTATGAGATTAAATTCAGTATGTAAAAGGTTGAAGGCACTCTGGGCACCTGTACAGGAAGGAATAAAAGTAGTTTTCTTTAAATATTCTCTAGACTGACAATGGTGACTTCTGGAAGGCCTTAAATATTCATGTCGGTATGTTATGCCACAATAATGGATGCCTTGATATGAATGTTTATCCGTTATTACCCAGTCTTAGCTCAAAAGGTAACAGGGCATTATGGGAATGTATTAAGGATACGTATGTGAATTTTCACAGTAGATTGTGAGAAATTGCAGCACATTGTTGATATAACCAAGACCCCATCCACTAAGAATCACAAATTGGGTTTTAAAGTCATGAAATCCTGACTAATCAAGATAAATCTATAATTTAAAACAAACTAACAAACAAAATAGTAAACATCATCCCAAATACAGAATCCATATTGTGGTAGGTTCTCTCTTGTGTTTAAACAGCCAGAATGAGCTATGCATCGTTCTTTTGAAATCGCAAATAAATATGCACTACTGTTTACATAGTCAAAATAAGCACTTACAAAGATGCCTTAAACGGATATGTGGAATTTGATATGCATTCAATCCTATCTTCACAAAGCTAAAAGGGATATGCTTTTTGGAATGGCCTGACATTAACATAACAAAAGGTGAATTACTTTTAAGACTTAAGATGTTACATGGGACAGGATAAGATACTATGCAACACACTGAAAAGTTTTTTTTTGCTAAAAACCAGCAGAAATCTGTCATAAACAGTGCTTCCCACTTCGTACGCAAGCAACTGGCTATTGTTTTCGATTTTACAGGATGTTGGCAAGCGTAAAAACCAACAGATAAGATTTAAGCGCTTTTTGAAAATTTTGCTCAGAAAGTCTCTTAAGAGGTTCTTAGTGCGTTTGCTTTAGTTATCTGCAATAAAGCTTGTGCTTTAATTAAGGGTTTTCTGTCATTTCCTTATTACTCAATTTGGCTCATACATCAAACCCTCAAGTTTAAGACAGCAAATTGTGACTTAGTCATTGTTTTCCAAGAAAAGAAAAGGTTTTGGAAAAATGGGGATGGGACTAATCCATTATATTTTAGACTGAACACACAGTAAGAGGATATTACCATTATTGGGGGGGGGGGGGGGGGGGAGGTGGTGTAGGAACTAAAGCATTTGGCAGTTCGGAATTAAAATAAAAACAGACACTCATTATGCAATGTGCATCTCTGAAATTGAGGAAGCTGCTTGCATAATTCATGCCATTTTTAAACACCATTGATAACAAACGACTGTTTCATGAAACAGAAAAGCACTTATTTTTCAATGAAGACTAGGAAGACCTGAATATATTTTATATACTTATAGATTGGCAACTTTGTGCACCAGTCCAAGGTGCAATAGGAAATCTGTTTAAATGTTTTGGTGATGTAAATGTGTTTAGTGTGAGGTGAACTATTTGGGGTTGTCCACGCTGCTTAGAGGGGATGGCAAAGCCTGCTGAGAAGGTTCTGAGGTTTTGCCGTTGTTGGTGTTTATGCCATGACTTCCATCTTCCTGCAGCTCCACTTCCATCTTCCCAGCATCCTCTAAACAACTGCTGTCACTGGGAGGGATGTTCTCGGAGCCCACAGATTCTGCGGCATCGACAGCACCCTCTTCTTCCGGGTTCAAGCCGGTACAAACACAGTCCGTTCCTCCATTAGTTTTTACGTCCCTGGCCTGAGCCAATTCCACAGGCTCCGGTGTTTTCACCGTATCCATCATCTCCTCGCTAAGTGTGGTTTTGGGCACTTCCGGGGCACTAACTCCCGATTCACCTGACGCACCCTCAGGTGTGACTGCGGCTGCTGGCTCTGCCATTTCGCCCACCTCTGGCTCTGCCTTCACTTTGGGAACTGCTACGGCTGCTGGTACTTGCACGCTAGGCTCGGTGGGACTCTCCTGCACACACACTTGTGTTGCATCCTTTGAGTCTTTGATGCTCCCTGACTCTGTGCAGTCCTGTTTGGAATCCTGTAGGATGTCCGTCTCCATGGACTGAGTCAAGTTAAAGCTCTGGATGAGGCGGACCAGGTGTTTTACCTTGTCCAGAGAGGCCTGCATCTCCTTCTGACGGGCAAGTATGCTGTTCTTGGTCTCCATACATTTCTGTTGAAGAAAAGGAATACAGCATTATATAACAAACACAAACTGAAATCTTAGAAGAACTACGGTATATGATGTAACAAGCCGTACTGAATATTTGCAGGGATAAAATGAGAAAAAGCTGAATGTTCCTCTTAAAACTGGTTTTCTGAGGCAAAAATCCCTTCACAGACACGTAGAACAATTGTATAACTAATCTTGTATCCAGAAAAGCTCCAGTTAAAGAGAAAAATAAGTAACACACTGTTATAGAGTTGCTGAGCTGTTTCACTCTCTGTTCTAGTTGTTCTCGTTCCAGCTTTAGTTCGGCACTCCATTTCATTAACTTCTGCTTCTCTTCTTCTTTTGCTGTTGGACAGGAACAAAACACTCATAAATTGAATGCACTATAACATAGATGTATGCATTTGGTTATAAACTTTTTTTTACACTTAAAATGTAAAATTGGGGTGCAAATTTCTATAACTCGAAATCAAAATATCTCTACCTTCTTTGTAAGCAATATAGGAATGGACAATTGCTAGGGTTCCTGGCCATGGAATGGCCTCTTCCTTCTTCAGAATCTGTAAAAGAAACTCTCTCAATAACAGAACAGTGCTGTGCCCACTTGACCCCTGGAAAGCCATAAAAGAAACTGAGATAAATTGTATATGGCAACAGTGATGAACAACAGAACTTCAATGGGAGTGCTTGATGCTGTCTTACACTTACATGATGGGTGGAAGAAAAGGCACAATCAATACCAAACCATGTGAGAGCTTACAAAAGGACGAAGCAGCCTTAATGCCTGAAGAAACTCATTTCGTTTAAGGGGAGAAAAATGTACACTTCATTTTTGGCAGGGAAAGGGGAGTTTGATCTCTCAGTTTGTCTCCCATTTCTAATGATATAAAAGTGTGTGTGCTTGAAAGGACTGAATTCCAGTTAAAAGGAGACATCACTGACTGGCCTGCGAGATCAGTGGCCAAGGGCTCGTTGTGCTGCTATTATTTACCTGGTCTTGACATTTAGGACAGATCCACATGCCTTTGGGAATGTTTTTGAGGGGTGGGTCCAAGCAGTCGAGGTGGTAGACGCGCGAACATGTGTCACACATGAGCAACTGTCCACTGCGTCTGCACACAGTGCAGAAATCCTCATGGATGTCTCCCTGTCGGGAAGAACGGCAGGTGTCAGTACCACCGCCCCCTTCTTTTCCTGGACCAATCAAATGACAGCGGGAAAGGCGGGGAGGAGAGGAACTGACTGCTGATTGGAGGTATTTGTCTAGTGGCTCACTGGTGACTGGACTGTTCACTCAGTCAGGGCACTGGATATTTAGCTAATAGTTTTAATATTATTACTATAATTGGGATTATTGGATTAATCACTATTGAAAATGTATCATGTCATTATAAGCAATGGTTATTTTGGCTTAAATGCTAAGATGGGGTGTAAGAATAAAAAAAAATACTATACTATGATTACTTCAGGCCTGATATTTGTGTGGGAAGTAGAGAAAGACTGTTCACTCTGTAAGACTGCTGGCTCCATTTCAACAAATAAAACAAATAAACACATAAATAACAGTGCTGGTAGGTCAGTCTTTCTCTTTCCAGGGTGGATGCTGGACTCTAACAGGAGTTACCTTGCTCCTGTACATTTTGAGGTGTACAGGATGAATGCAGTGAAGGGTTTTGGGGGGTAGGGCCAGCCTGTGATGTAGAGGAATCTACTAAAACAATAGTAATAGTGGGGCCTTTCAACAACATGGTCGCCCAGACTTGGCAGGTGGCTACTTACATCCCCAGAGCTGGGGCTGGGCTGGGGGACAGAATGAGGGTGGACAGAGAGGGGAAAGCCCCCCGTGTCAGGCCGCTCAGGGGCTGGGGAGGCGGGAAGGCTGCTGGTGGGGGAGAGCAGGGGGTTGCAGCCCAGCTCCGGCACCGCTGTGCTGCTGGTGGTGGTGGTGCTGTATTTGGGAGGGCGACCTGAGTGAAATGAGACAGACAAGAAAAGAAAAACAAACCAAAAAAAAAAGGAACAGAAAAATGGAGGAGGAGGAAAAGGGGAAAAGAAAGAAAGAAAAAAAACACAAAGATGAAATAAAATAATGGCATTTTCTGGTTGCAACATACCTTAGAGAGGGGATCCTCATTGGCTAGCATGGAAACAAAGGAAAGGAGGGAGAGAGCGAAGGAGAAATGGAAGGGAGGGTCACAAAAAGCAGTTAGTGCAACAGACGACCACAGCAGCATGCAGGGAATTTGAAAAGCAATGAGCGAAAGAAAGAACAAAAGAGAGAAAGTCTACACTGAAATCTAATCTCAAATCTCAATAGATTTCTCTGCAGGTGGCTCCTACAGGAACAAGCAATGCATCATGCACTCTAAAATAAGCAAAACAATAAATATAAACATAACATCTAAAGGTAACATGACAACCAGAGAACCAACAGACAAACTCTCACTTACACACCTAATTCGACCTACTCACATCAGCACTCAAGTCAAGTAGTAGAGTCCAAGTAAAGAACTTTCAACAGTATCAACGCTCAAATATTTAAGGTGGTATCCAAGTCAGGTCTTTCAAGGCCAAGCTTAAAGTCAACACTCAAGTCTTTGAGGTAGAGTTCATATAAAGTATTTTAAGGCCAAGCTCAAGTCAATCCTCAAGTCTTTGGGGTGAAGACCTAGTCAAGATTTTCAAGGTCAAATCAAGCTAAATCCATTATGTTGAAGCACAGCTCTAGAATTCACAAGAAAATAACAAGATATTCTAAAAGAGTAAAAAAATTAAAATAAAAAAGAGTGCAAAGAGCACAGAGCACAAGAGACTCAAATCTGAAGTGAACCAACACTGAGATGACATTTCTCCCTGTAAGCCAACTGACATTTTGGAGTCTTAAGTCAAATGTTAACAAGTCCAAAATAAGCCAAATTCTCTGGAAACTATACAAACTGGGGAAGAGGTTCCTTAACCACCACTTTTACAGCCCACTTTTTAGGTCTACTCAAATGATGTAGGTCTGCAAAGAGATCAGACCCTAGCAAAGACAAAGCAGAATTGCAAGAGAAAGCAGAGAGGTGTCTATTAGGTGTCTGTTAGGTGGTACACAGAAGCAGCAGGGCTACAATACATCAACTTAAGCAACTAAGACAGGCAGGTACAGACCTCTCTTCCTGGTGCCTTGATGCAGTGGAGTGTTCAAGTAAGTGACAGCACTCTTTTTCCTCTGAGATATATGAGAGAAATCGGAATGTTAGAGCCAAGTTGGAAGTTCAATCTAAGCTCTCAAAATCAGAACAGATGGAGGAGGGAACTTCTGAACATTTGTTTGTACCTCAGGTTCAAACACTGCTCCACTGTACACTGGGTTGGCTGTTGTTCTCCTCTTACGTTCTTGTCTTCTACTCTGAATCTCTGGAGAGCAATGACATCCCATGCACATCTGGTTAAACACATCCTGTCCTTGTAACTTTAATTTAATGGAAATCCACAGTGCAGAATTGACACCAGTGGGACTTACCTTCAAGATGACCATGTGTGACCAACCCAAGAGACACCATAAAGGCAAGTTTCTGAAGGAAGAAAATTTATTAGTTTATTATTTAGGCTTCAGGCAAAATTTGTCAGACATGATGGTTTTGTTAACTCTGTGAAGGTACCAGTACCTGTGGGCTCTCCTCTCGTTTGATCTTAGCTGGAAGAGGAGGAGAGGATGAGGGTGGTTTACTCGTGACCACCTGTTCTGGTCTTCCCTGTGGTTTCACAGTCTGACGCAGCGAACAAGAAAAAAGATAAGCAACCCAGTCAAGCTGTTTGATTCTTAGTGCAAGAACAAAAGTTAAACCTATCCTATAAGATAGAAAAAGATTTGTCTGAAAAATGTTGCATGTCTGGAGCAAACAATCAAGCTAATAGAAACGGGTGCGCTCACCTTCAAGTCTGAGTTAAGGTTGCTGATCTGAAGTGTCTGGGCAGGACTGATGACGATGCCTGTGACTTTCGTGGTGCCACTCGTGACTGCAGTCATGGTCTTGTCAATGGTGGCACACTGCTGTCCGTTCACGATGTGCACCTGGTGAATGGGCCCAGCAGAGGCAGGCAAAGATGACGTAAGCTTGGTGGTGAGCATCAGGGGCCGCTGGATTAGGGGAGCCGCCACCATGGGAGGAGGAGCTGGAGCGATGGGTACATTGATGGGCATGGGGGGTTTTGGTCGAACCTGTGCAATGGTGGAATGGGGTTGGGTGAGAAAGCAGACAGAGGCTTGCCAAACCAATCGATCATGAAAGCCACTCTGATTCCATGCCCCTAACATCCATGCTGTTTTGTGTTAAAAGGCAACCTCAGCCATAAGTAATGCTAACACTGAGCTCTGGTTCACCCCTCAGTGACTAGTTTAAAAGTGGATGGAAATGTGTGCAAAGCTCAATTTAGGAACATCAAAACAAACCAGCAGTAGGAGTGGGCAACTCTGGCCTACAATGTCCATCAGTTTAGCTCCCACCCTGATCAAACTCACCTGCCTATAACTTTCTAGTAATCCTAAAGACCTTGATTAGTTGTTCAGGTGTTTGATTGAGGTGGGAGCAAAGCTCTGCAGGACAGTGGACTTTGAGGGCCAGAGTTGCCCACATAAGAAAGTTAGGGTGTGCTCAAACTTGTAGTTTGGTTCTCTTGGTTCGTTTGGTCTGGACCAAAAAAAAGAAAAATATACATTTGGTCCTGGTCCGCTTAGCGTTTACACTGGCATTTTTGACAGCGAACATAAAGATACCAAACCTAAAGGCATAGTGATATGTTCACAACCTGATTGATCATTGAATGACATATTTCGTGATGGAACATAAAGGGGTCATATGACGTTGCTAAAAAGAACATTATGTTGTGTATTTGGTGTAATTCAATGTGTTTATGCGGTTTAAGGTAAAAATAATGTACATTATTGTTTCTCCTCTATGCCCCACCTTTCTGAAACGCGTCGATTTTTACAAAGCTCATCGTTCTGAAAAGTGAGGTGTACGCTGATTGGCCAGCTATCCAGTGCGTTGTGATTGGCTGAATACCTCAAGCGTGTGACGGAAATGTTACGCCCCTTATCAGACTGTGATGCCGTCTCCCAGCACGGCGAGACAAAACCAATAAAACCCATTACAAACGAGGCATTTGTTGCATCCAGTGGGGACATAATTACTGATTATAATGACTTGTACTGTGGTTTTACACGTTGCGTTGCGTATCGCGCCGCGTAAACATAAAACCATATCTGCATTTGTGATCGGAGAAACAACAAACGCTACCCGCGTTTGAATCATCAGTGGCAAATTCTTTACATTTAAAAAATGTACTTACAGGCTGCAAGTCAGAAGTTCCAGACTGTCCTTGCAAAGTTGGAACTGCCCCACTTTATAGAACACAGAACCATTGTATGCTACTCTGCAGGTTCAGGAAACAGTCTTCCATAAAATGCGTCACACAGCGTCACACACGGCGGGCATGAGTGAGCGGAGGCCAGCGGCCTTGAGAACAGCACAGCCGGCGGATTCGATGAAGGATCGGCCGGCAGGCATGCGGCAACCACATGTGACGACCCCGGGCTGGACTCCGCGTCCACGGTGAAAGCAGATCCCACAATCAACAGCGCGGAGTTGATGTATTTCCTCAGCGATCAGCACGGATCAGCTCTATAACAATAACTACAGTGAGAATAAAAGTTACGCCTTCTTTCTTTGCGTGAACATTTGGGCGGTGTTATGCAAATTTTCCCACACAGTGACGTAGACATGTGGGGGCGTGTTTAAATGAGCCGTTTTAGGAGGTCTCAAATTTTATAAAGAATATCTCTTTGGATTTGAGACTTTAGTCTTTGTAATGTTACAGATCTTCTTTATGCACCAAAAGTTTGTAACACTCCAAAGAGAAAGGAAAAATTGAAATTGCATCATATGATCCCTTTAATGAACACCCCAAACAATAGGTGTGTTCGACTTAAAGTGGCGCTGCACAAACCAATCGGTGTATGACATCAAAGTACCCAAAGTACTGCTCAGCTCCGCTTTATGTTGAATAAACCGAATGGTTGGACTAAGCGTGCTCATTGTTGATTGTACATGATTTTACTTTTATGACCTGCAAACTCACAAAGAGCATTTTACCTACTCGTTGCTCCACGTTTGCCCTTGTTTTGGATAAACCGCTCGTTTCTCGATGTCAAATCATGTCGCATTGCATTCTTGTCATTACATCCTGTTTTTGGTTTGTTTAGAAGTATTTGGTCCATGTTGCTTACATATTTCATTCGAACTGCACCAGAGTTTATTTGGAAGTGAACCAAGACCCATTCTTTTAGTGGTCTCGTCCACTTGTTTGGTGCGCACCAGTGTTCGGATGGCAGTGTTCACACTTACTCAAATGAACCGCACTAACAGAGAAATTGCACCAGAGTTTGTTTTAATCGAACCAAACGTGACAAGTGTGAACACACCCCAAGTCAAACAAGTTTGGAACGATATAAGGGTAAGTAAATGTCTGGTTCAAGTGGATTCATCTGAGCTTGCTTTAGCATTACATAGCTTTTTGAGGTAAAAGGTGATATACTGTCAGTCTTTAAGGAAGGTGGGGGGTTAATGACAGGGTCAGCCAAAGCAATATCAAAGAACTGAAGCAACAGCATTGTTACAAAGGAACAAACAGCAACACGCTGTCTTACTCTGAAACACCGTGTCTACACCAGACATAAGCAATGAACATACAGAAGTTACATTTTTATACCAATGGACTTCTGGTGAGTTATTCACCCAAATGTTAAAACAACTGTTGTTGAAGGGGTCATGCACCTCAAGTCGTTGAGTGATGGCACTTATGGGTCACTTCCAGTATAGACACGGTGCTTAAGGGAGCTTACACACTAGATAAAGCTGTAATGGAGCATTTGACAGACAGGAATGCATTTATGGCTCGTTTCCACTGAGCAGTACGGGTCAGTACAGTACGATTCGGGACCGAACACCCTGATCCAGCTTGCGTGTCCACTGCCAACAGTACCCTTACTTGATAGGTGTGGTGTATGCCGGAAAGTAGCGATCAACGATAAAGCGTGACAATAAGCACAACGCTGCCTCTTTTTGTTAAATGTCAGTTTTAATGAACAATAATAGCCATTATAAAAGTATAAGTACAAAGTATAAGAGGCTTATATAAGCGGAAATAAAGACAAAAGCAAACAATTCAGTCAAACGTATGCTACAAAGTCAGTGCTGTACTTTACTACGGTGAAGTTCAAAATAAATATATAGTTAAACATAACTTTGTGCTCAGCCAAAACGATATGACCAGGAACAAATAATAGATTCATGAGACCACGAATGCCTGTTAAATATATCCAAAACTAATTGCATCTCATGTTTAATCACTACAGAGACATCAGAGCCAGCGGCAAATGTCAGAAGGACAAGCCGAGCAAAGGCTGCTCTATGCGGATACATGAGCACTGAGTGCCCGGTGATCACCTGGAGCTCTGAAATCGGCATAGCAAATTTTCAAATAGGCACTATCTTTATAAACAAACCACAGATTTGAGTTAAGCAATTACATTCTCGCCTGAAAAACTCTTAAAACTACATTTCACGATAACAGTAATATTTGGAAAACTACGCTGGTTTTTGGGCAATGACGTTTCAATGACAAGTCCACAAGAACAGACAAGAGCGCATATTGAGAAACAGCTATAGTCTGTGTGAAAATATTAAATGATAAAATACACAGTTATATTTTTTGGGTTTTGCCCGACACTCATGGACAGCAGAGCGGAACGAGTGAAGGAGAAGCTTTATCCCCTTGTATCACACAAAAGTAAAGATTCTAGTCAACCAATCAACTTTCTGCGGTGAGTTTAGCCCACCCCTTTGGTACCCTTTGCTGTGTTAGGTACCCCAACGGAAGGGTACCAAAAAAGTGGTATGGTAGGGTTCGCTATTTTGCTACCATTCACAACTTCTGACAATGGAAACAGACATAATTGCGTACCTTACCGTACTGTACTGAACCGTACCGCTCAGTGGAAACGGACCATTAGAGATTTTAGACAGAAGCAGGCCAGCTCAAAACAGAGCAGTACTACAGTGGACTGAATTTTGATTGGTCAACAGATGCCTAGGTCAGAGTTCAAAGCAAAAGTTCTAGGTTGCATGACTGAGCATCACTTTCGCAAACCTTTGTTTTTTTAAATCTTTTTTTTTAACACAATATCCCCAACTGATATCAACAGACTTGTAGCATTTCTAACAGAGTGTAAAATCTAGTGTGTAAGAACCCTAAAGCAAAGAGAAAAAAAAAATAGGAGCAGACAGTATCACAGCAACAGTCAGTGCTGGGAAGGAGAAGGTGAGCGTCAGTTTTATTATGAGGAAAAAAGCTGAATTTGGGTCTCTTAAGTGTGGAACAGTGATGTCTTGAAGTTTGGGTGATTGTGTTCGAGCAATTTTAGTTACCATGTTAAAAACTCTTTCAAGATGAGAAGTTAAAAAATATATTGAATCAGAATGTCTGTAAACAAAGGCTTTACAGACACAAGGCCTCTGAAACTAGGTTGTGTGCCCCTCTGGTGGCGTCAGTGTGGGACTGCACATACATAACGGGAGGGGGCAGGTCTAACAGAGACGCACCTGTGGCTGAAAGGTGGGTCGAGGCGTCAATCTAGGAGGAGGGACAAACTGGGGAACTTTGATAGGCTGGGCAGAGGTGGTGGTGACCTGTGACAAAACCAGCCGTTTATTGGGCACTCAGCAGTTGAAATGGAGAAATTCACAACATTTAGAGGAAATTATCCTCTATCTGGTTTCATCACAGCAGTATGTCACCATACACCCCAGCCAAGCACATCATTGTCAGAAAGGAAGTCATTTAAAATCTTCATACTAACTGGAGACATAAACATCCTGTTCTAAACACATCAAAGCAAATATGACTAGTCTACAGCAAACTATGCAAAAACACAGACTGGCATTTCTACCTTAATTTAAAATAGTTATATTTAAGCTATATGGAAACACTAAGTGAAGAGGAAGAATTTTTAGCAGCAATTCACACTCACGACGATAACATTCTTGGACACAATCCGTGTGCCCGCATCTGTATCCTGATTGGGTAGCTTGCTGGCCACCTGAAGGTTGATTGGTGTGCTCTGGGAGTCGGAATTGGCGCCGGGTCTCGGGGGGTTGCTGATGGCAGTGACCATGGCGACTGTGGGGCGTTGTGTTGCTATGGAAGCAGGCATGGTGGAGGTGGCAGCTTTCAGCACGAGAGGTAGAGTCTTTGCAGTTATGACCGGCGTCACGGTGAGAGTCTTCTAGTCGAGGAGGTGGGAGGTAGGTTGATTGAAGGAAGCAGTGAATGAGGATGAGGACACACAAAAGATGTTAAAGTGCTATTGACTTGATTTCTCTGCTGTTATTGTGTACGAATTATCAGTGCATATAAGAAAAATGGCCTGTCCTTGCCTTTCATCAAAATATAATAACTTGAAATGACTTTTTTCCATTGATGTTACCAAGAGAGCAAGTGCTGTTAGATAATGTTAACCAATCACAAATTAGCTATTGAGACATTGTTTAAACGAAGTCATATTGCAGGGTTGGCTCCATTCTTGTATTTAACACCCAAATGTCATCAATTAATATTCATAATCGATTAATGGGAATTAAATTAATCGTATATATATATATATATATGAAGAGTTCAGATGCAAAAGCCTCTAAGTGCCATTTGCAATTTTCATCTAAACTGAGCATTTTTATCAGGCTGCTTTGTTTAGGTTCAGTAATTTTACTCTAATGGCACTGTATAGGTAATTTTCTATGCAATTAAAGTGAAATAACTGAACATGAATATAGGGGCCTGATAAAAACACTAATTTTAGAAGACAATTTCAGACGGCATTTAGAGGCTTTTGCATCTGAACTCTTCATATATCAGAACACATTTTCAATGACCACACACTGTACATCCCCCTACACATTTATATTACATTCAGGATGTTCGGGTCCACTGGACCCGGGGCTAATAAAAGAGTGGAAATTTTAGGTCCTGTGTACCTTCACGCTGTCCTCCTACTGTCTGGGGCTGCTATTAGTATGTGTATGTGTGTGTGTGTGTGTGTGTGTGTGTGTGTGAGAGAGAGAGAGTCTGTAAGAGTGTGAGTGTAAGTGTGAGTTTTGTGTTTCT